AAAAAAAATAGAATGCTTAGCTTGGAAAAGGGTTAAAAGAGATAGTCTACACTTTTTCTTGTTTATTTTATATATTTTCAAATAAAAAGCACGGCTCGAAGAGCTTATACCACATCCTCCATCTTCCTTTCGTCAACTATAGTATTATGTTCAGTAAGTAAACCTATATTGCAACAGTTTTATTTGTATCTTATTATTTACATTATTTTTAGTCCTGCACACTCAATGCTCTTTAATCCTAATGATCCTAGCTGGTTCAATCATTTCAGTTCAGAGGACCTCGTGGAAATAAAAGAACATGTTAATCACTCACTGAATAATGACCTTTCTAAAGAACTGGAAGATATATTATTATTACTAAATCAAAAGGCAAAATTTGAATTTTTCTTTATTTTTTTAACTCCATTTTCGTTAATATTATATTACTAGATAACATTCAGAGCGATTTATGATGTTATGGATGCTGTACCTGCGGACCCAGTTAATAATAAAGAAAAGTATTGGTTCAAAAATAGCATAATTAATTACATTATGCTCTTCATCAATGGACCTACTATAGTACCGTTCAAATCTGAAGAAGATCTTTTAGATGATGTTTATGGTTTCATCAAAACCAGTAAACAACTAAGTCATGCATAGCATTGATACTGTGAGAGAAGAAGCTGTCTTGACTAATATGAATATTTTGATTTTATAAATAGAAAAACAGAAAGTACTGCATCTTCTGGAGAAATTAACAAAGATCGACTGATTGGATCAATAAACAAAATCAACAGGAATATAGCAGCTAATCATGCTGATTTGGTCTTCAAATATTTGACACACGAAATTGGATGTGTTGAAATTGGCTTGTATAACAAAGGCCCAACAGGAACAAAAGAGTTACAAGAGTTCGAGATCAAAATGCCACTAATGTTAAAAAGCTTTATTTTATATCTTGTTAAAGATTATAAAACTATGCCCGACAACTTTAAAATCATTTCATTCGTATTCAGTGGTAAAGTATAAAAAAAAGGCTCTTGTTCATATTAATTGATCTCTTTCTTTGACAGGAATGTATATCTCTGCTCAAGTAATGACTTATAATAAAGGATCCGTTGCCCTGATAGGAACATCTCAACGGTACTATACGCCAGAATCCCCAACTGAAGTTCCTAAACTATTGCCACCTGTGCTAAAGCTGGCGTACAATTGTGCCAAGTCATTGAAAGTATTACTAGCCATTTGAAAACTATCTCTTTCTCTGTCTCCCTTGATGAAGGTTCTGAAGTGTATTTCCCTCCTTGTTTCGTTGCGAGTGATAACAAAAGAACCTATGCAGCTGCTTTCAGTGACTAGTATGAATCGTTTTTTTTTTTTAAACAAAAATTTAAGTTAGGTTATTATTAAAATTATGTAAAATAAAAGTTAAGAGTACAGAGAATCTATTTTATTGAATGAGTGTAGTTTATTATAATACTTCTTCAAGATGAATGGCAAAAAGTCTCTCTTCGCTTCAAAGCATTAAGCTTCTAATAACAGGAGTAACCACGAGAAGGTGAAGACTATATACTCCCAAACCCCAGACCCTAAGATGCCTCCTGTCGAACTACATCTGGTGTACGAAGAACCAGTAAAGTAAAACGCAACAACCAAACCTCATTCGACCATTTCTCATCATGCTACTACTGGAGTATTAAAGCAACATCCAATACTCACATGACAAGTAGAAAGAGACGCCCCAGAACCTAAACTTATTCTGATCATGCTACCACTGAAGTACCGAAGCAACATTCAATACTCGCATGAAATAAGAAAGAAAAAACCCTAGTTAGGATCTTGAGAACGTCATAACTACATTTAATGGCCTTGTGTCGAGTTCCTCTTTTTTTTTGGTTACCATTACGGTTATGCGCATAAGAGTGCTAATCAAAATAAAGAGCAATATTACGAGGAACCCTACTTGATAAAGCAGATACATTGACACCTCGCCTTCCTGCTGCTTGTGGGATCAGACACTGTTCAGGATTGCCAAGGTTGGGTGATATTCTGGGTTAGATGCATTGATAAAGAATTAGGTCTAAGGTAAGTGTCATCGCCATATGTTACCTTTAAGTATTTCTTCAGAAATAAAAAACCATTTTGTCCCAAAGTTTATTTCCAAAATATCCAAAAAAAAAAAATGTATCAATTTTATTTACAAGTCGTACCAAAAAAATTTCAACCGTACCAATTAAAACTAAAATCCTGTTTTTAGAGTTATTCCACAGGATTTTCTGAGGTTTGGTAATCTTATATCTTTTTATTCTGATACAAAAATGACAGAAGCTCTCGTATCCATACCAACCTTTTCGAAGCTATCTTCCAGAGTATGGAGAGTGCTTGGTTTGAATCCTGGAAAGGTTACTTTACAAGGTGAATAAGATTGATATATTGTAAGAAATGGCTAGTGAATAACAAGTATTTCAGGCACGAATACGTATATCTTGGGCGCAGGTGCTCAGAAGCTGCTGCTTGACTGTGGTCAAGGCATATCAGAGTACACTCCTCTCCTTGAAAATTCTCTTAAAGATATTCAAGCAGATGCATATATATCTGATATCATCATCTCCCATGGTCACTTTGACCACTGGGGCGGTCTTCATGATATCTTATCTTCTTCAATCCTTAATCCAAAGAAGCAAATTCGTGTACACAAATTTCCTCTGCCCTCTGGTAAACATGTAGACCATTTGAAGGATTTCCCACAAGACATTTCTGTCCTACCTCTGAAAGATGAACAAACATTCAAAGTGGATGACGCGACACTTAGAGTGATCTACACACCTGGACACACTTCAGATCATTGCACGTTTTGGTTAGAGGAAGAGGAAAGTCTATTTACTGCAGATTGTGTATTGGGTCAAGGAAGTACCATATTTGAGGATTTACATCAGTATCTTTCTGGACTTGAAAAACTAGCCAAACTACAGCCAAGGAGACTCTACCCTGGCCATGGGCCTGTCATTGAGAATGGAACAAACAAGATAAATGAATACATTCGACATCGCTTAGAAAGAGAGGACCAGATTATACAGCTATTTAATCAACAAGATGGCTGGACTCCCATGGAAATTGTTAAAGTTCTGTACAAGGACTACCCCGAATCACTTCATCTTCCTGCTGCTAGAAGCGTCGTTTTGCACCTCTACAAGCTACATAAAGATGGAAAAGCCAAGACAGCAAAACATTATGACTTTGTACAAGAGAATTATCATCTCATTATAAATTCCAAGTGGTATTGGGTTAATCAGAATAATTTATAATAAATAAATGTATGTACAAAAGCTTTATTGATTCCATAGCATGTATACATGAGACCTCTCTTTGGCTGCACAGCTCCAAACCAAAGATTTAAATCTTATTCTAGTCTTTTTATCCTCCTCAGTCACTGTCTCATTCCATCGGCCTAGAAACTTTACAGAAGCTCCATGCATTACCTTTTGTATCAGCTTGCCTGTCTTCATGTCCAATACTTCGACAGTCGTAGGACCAAAACCAACAGCATACCAGCGACTGATATTCATATCGAGCTGAATAAATTCTATGTGACTCGGAGCTTCTGTCCAACAATATACTTGGGTGGAATACAAATTACCGGTTATGTCGATGATGAAGCTTTGCTTGGAAAATGTAGCAAAAAACAGTTGAGGTGCTGCGGCAGAGGGCAGAGCAACAGGATCGGGCGGTGCTGATGTGGGCAAGGCTGTTATGACTGTGGTATAAGAAGGTGGAATGGAGTAATCGGTGGTAAGCGTCGTTGGTGGAAGATCGTCTGGATAAAAGGGAAGTTGTTGCATCAGAGTCCACTGGATAGGTGGTATGCTCACACTGGCCGGCAGTGAAGGGTAGGGTAGATTACAACTTTCGCTTAATGAGATATTATTGCTGTTAGGATTAAGCTGCCGTGGTTGTACAAGGTGATGCTCAAATTGCTCCCTAATCCATGTCGATTCGTAAACCCTTCGTAATGTGGAGTCAATAGCGACTGACTGCACCTTACTGTCTCGCAGCTCAATTGAAGTCGCCTCTGTTGTAAATACGACAATGATATGCCGAAGCGTAGTTCTATCGTCTGCAAAGGCAATCGATTTGGCCTCTGTCGGTATCCAAAATACTTTAAACTTGTAAAAATGCCGTAGTGGATGATCTCTTTTTTTCTGCCAAAGTACTATTTTATCACGATGAAGGACAGCTACAAAGAGGTAGGATGATGTTTGATAGATTTGTATGTCGATCGACTCTTTGGAGTCCGAAAGCTTATAATAGAACTCTTGTAATATCAAGTTGTCACACACGTAGTATGGTTTTGAAAGTGCGGGCTGGTCTACCAAGAAACATGATTGCTTGTTCACTGGCACTTTTTCCTTTTGCTTCTTTGCCAGTCTTTCCTTCAAACTTAAACTGAAACTATTTATACTTGATATAGGAACGTCATCTTCTTCTTCAGGTAACGTATTCAGTGCTGACTTTGTAGCTACCTGTTGCCAGTCTTTAAGTGAAGGCACATCATGAGCTTTATCACGTCTTGTTGACCAATCAAGTGATAATACTCCGTATATGAGTTTCAAGATGGCGTCGTAAGAATAACATCGTATCTGCTTATGACGATCTGTCAACATGAGAATAATTCGACAGGTTTCAATCACCCGTATCTGTCTGACCCGTGTCCAGATGATGATCTGGGGCTTTAGTTGGCTATTGTCTAGGTCAATTAATTGGATACCCTCTTTGTATCCTAGCAGTAAAAATCGATTCTCCAAGACACAACTACAGTCAAAAGGTGTACCCTGCCATGGATCAGTAATAGATGTGATAACTTTTAACTGTAAAGAGGCAAGTTGGCTGGACTATCCATAAAATTAGCATTGAATCATCCCCAAGTTTGTTACGGTACCTCTGCTACATCCTCGTTAGACTGTTGGTGTTCAGGTGACCACTGGAGATGAGCAGGATTAGTGTTTGCAAAGTTGTAGTTTTCATATTCTATTGAATAAGGAGGTGGTGACGACACAAGTATCTCTCTTCCTGAGTTTAAAGCATTGCTTGGTCTGCCTACGTTTAAACAAATATCATTTGACATGATATACTTGTGTTAAATAGAAGGAAAAGAAAAAAGGAAAGGGTAAAAATAATAATAACTCTTGGCCAATATCGTCTCCAGACTCCGATATTGAAACACAATGATAAACATAGAATAAGCAGCTTTGAGAACAATAGCTAGCAAGCATCAACCCTGTTCTATCAATAAGTTAACCATAAGCTTGTGCCTTATCAGTCAAGCATTATTTTAAATTAACTTAGACTTTACCAGCATAAATGTTACCACGTTCAATAGACAAAAAGAGAAAGACTCTTAGAGTATGGGGTTAAAAAGTGGTAGTCAAAGATTTAGAAAAAGTGCTTAGGGAAAGATTAGGGATTGTTATATCCAAAAGGCTAACCATGTTTTCGGCAGTTGCTATACTTCTTTGTTAAAGACTCCAAAAGGGGCTGATTACCCTATAGAGCATTTGTGCACGGGCACTGAAAGTCGACGATACGGTTACACATTAAATAACGATACATCGTAAGATATCGCATTTTTCACATAACTCCATAGTTCATTATACGGCACATATGGTAGTCGTGATATCTTGAAATAACATAATTCTTCGTAAATACGACATTCCTTTTTGGGAAATGGCCTTTATTTACCATTTCTTCAATTAACGGACTACCTCTTAATATTGCCCGAGAAGTGTTTTGGAAAGTATAAAATACTCTTGACTAGGCTTTGCGCTAGGCTGAAATATGTCAACCATTATGGATGGAACACCAAATCAGCTCTGTACTAGAAACTCTTGTTGTAAAGTTGGTTGATAGTAATCGTTTACGCAGCTTTCCTTGATGAAGTATTGCTGCCCAATATTTTCTTACGACCACCTCCGCCCTCAGACAGGTATCTCGCAGGAATCTATCATGTTCTCATCTATACTCAGCTTATATGAACAACATGATTCAGAACCTACTTAGATGAAACTCCATAAATCGAGCTGTCTTTAACAACCATCTCCCAGGTCTATCCATTCCAAGCTTATGCCCATATGTCATCCTGCCAAACTAGACGGTTTTCTCGGCCCTTGAACTTTAGCGAATATCAAATGTGTGATATTTGTTAGGATAAAAATATTAAAACGTAAAAGTCAATAAAATAAAAGTATGATGTGTTTATTAAGTAAATGTTCTATTGATTTATAATTGTTAATGCGTAGGAGCTTTACTTTTCTGCATTTTGTGGGAGGAGCTTCATTTAATGTTTAAGCGCTACCTCTTGCGGTTATACCTCAGTGATACTTATTGACCATCTATATAAATGAGTCTCTAAATTGATATAAGAGGTATTTAGGGAATACCATAAACTGTTCCAAAACGATACAATGACACTTATTGATCCTTTATTCAATCCTTCAAGCACTTGGTCAGTTTCAGTACGAAAGCTTCCCTTCAGGCAGTCGACTCTATGGAAGCGCTTTCTTTAATCGGCACAAAGTTATCCAGCAGCTTCCTCTTTTATTCATAGGTTCATTTCGGCCCTACTTGTTCCCGTCTGAGTAGATATGTATTTATATTCTTACAACTCACGTAAGAACTTATAAACCGTAATATTAATTAGTTTGACGTCAATAATTTCTTATATATGATAATAAATCATTGTCAATCATAATCACAAATAATGCAAACAGAGGAAAGTAAACATGAATCCGAATAAATCAAGCAGCTATTTTTTTCAGTTTAAGCGGAGAACTTTATAATACATGACAGAGTGGGAATACATGGACAAATATATTAGTAAGGCGGGATTTTTTGTCCTGTTCACTTTCATTTAAATAAGAGCAATTATCCACTTTACGCGTCTCTAAACCTTATTGAACCACACATGGCTAATAACAAGCTACCTAGCTACGACGAATTACCAATTGATAACAAATACCCCGATCATACCGCCTGGGGTTTATGGGGTGATGATGACAACCTTGGTACACTCAATCTATTGACAGAAGAAAGAATAGCCAATGTAAGCAGACCAATTCTCTCCATTTTCCTCTGAGTATTTATTTTCCAATCTATTAGGCAGCTAAATACATTCGCCGTGGAGCTATGTTCCCACTCAACTGGAAACTAGAATCACCAAATCCTGCTCTCTTAGGAAGAGCTGGATTTGAGCACCATTTAAAGCCCTTGATAGAGGGAGCCATAGCATTCGATGATGTCTATCAAAACTTCAATACCCAAGCTTCTACCCAATGGGATGGTCTCTGCCATCTAGGTCATATTGGCTCTGGCTGTTTTTACAATGGCGTCAAGCCTTCAGATATCCTTAATAAATGTGGCCGTTTGGGTATTCATCACATGGCTCGACGTGGTATCGCTGGACGTGCTGTATTACTTGATTATGGCAGATGGGCAGAAACAAATAAGCCTGATTTTAATCCTCTCAAGTACACTGAAATTCCTGTTGAAGAGTTGGATCAAGTTGCTGCTGCACAAGGTGTCACTTTCGAGATTGGTGATATCCTTCTTCTTCGCACTGGTTGGATCGCCGCCTATGAGAAACATGGTGAAAAAATAAAGGAATATATCCCAGACGTCCATCAACCTGAATGTGCAGGCGTTAAGGCATGTCAAGATACATATCGATGGATATGGGATCACCACTTTGCTGCAGTCGCTTCCGATTGCTTCCCCTTTGAAGCCTTTCCTCCTAAGGACTGGAGTGACTCTTGTCGTAAGAAATAAAGATAATATATCAAGTAGAAACTAACGATTATAAATAGACTCAGCCTTTCTTGGTGGCTTCGGTATGCCTATTGGTGAAATGTTCTACTTGGACAAACTTGCAGAAGATTCTGCCAAAGACAATGTTTACACGTACTTCTTTACAAGTGCGCCTTTGAATAAGGAACACGGTGTTGCTTCGCCTCCCAACGCTATATGTATTAAATAAACGCTCTCTATCACTTGTCTTTGATCTCATGCAATACTCCCATTTTATTTGAGCATATCACAACAATTTGGATATCAATTTACCTTCAAAGAAGGCTAACTATGGATGTCTTCCTTCAAATTCATCTAAAAAAAGACTTTGCTTTGATCATTCTATAATACAAAACATGATGTAAATATCCAAACCCCTCAAGGAGAATCGTGTTCTGATCTGATATACTTCTATGAAGGAGCAGAGATAATGAATGAGAGAAGCAGTGACTGAGCAACTAAAAGCAGAAAAAAAGTCCTGGAGCTCTTTAGGCGTAATACTTTACCCTTTCCAATTGAAGAGAATGAGCTAAACTGATATGCATAAAGAGGTACTAGCATTCTGGTTACGCTTTGACTGACAGCTTTTTATCTATATATAAAAAAAGAAGCTCTTTATTGCTTAATAGCGGTAGGGAAAGGAGGAGGGATAGCCTCTTTAGGGAAAAGCTTTTCTCCACGTAACTTGACGGCATCCTTAATTTTAACAAACTGGTCATCAAAACCAGGAACAGCGCCCTTGACAAATACCAAATTTAGTGCTGGATCGACCTTTACAACTTTCAAATTTTGAACTGTCACATTTTCACCACCAAGACGACCGGCCATCTTTTTTCCTTTAAACACTTTACTGGGCCACTACAAAGAAGAAAAAGGTGAGCATAGTAATGACTCTTATGGGTTCCTTCACTTACCTTACGCTGACCAGTTGAACCAGCTGAACGATGAGTTAATGACACACCGTGAGATGCAGGAAGACCTTTAAAGTTCCATCGTTTCATAACACCAGCAAAACCTTTACCAATACTAGCAATAAGGGATGTCAGTTTGGTTCACTATCAAGTTGATCAACTTACGAAGGTGCAGTGACATCTACAAATTGACCTTCTACAAAATGTGATGCTGTTAACTCTGTGCCAATTGGCAGAAGGGCATCCTTTGTTACTCTAAATTCAAATAATTTCTGTCGAAGACCAACACCCAACTTTTTAAAGTGTTCAAGTAGAGGCTTGGTAGTATGTTTTTCTTTCTTAACGGTGCATCCGACTTGTAATGCTGTATAACCGTGCTTTTCTTCTGTGCGGATGTCTGTGACTACATTATCTTCCAACTGATTCAACAAGGTATAAGTGATTGCTATTTTAATAAGCTGTGTAAGAAACAAGTACCTGTAATACTGTGACAGGTATACGGACACCGGATTCAGTCCACAAAGCTGTCATGCCCTTCTTTCTGGCAATAACACCTGTTCGTACAGAATCGATCTTCCATTCAACCGGGGCTGCTTGACATGTAACTGATGTTGTGTGGAAACTTGCTGCAGTAATAGCACGAAGAGAAGTTAGACTCTTTGAATTAGTGTTGAATGCGGTTTTTGCAAATAATCGTAAAGCCATGCTGTAATTGCTTTTTTTTTTCTCCACACACACACGACAAACAAAAAGAAGAAAAAAGAACCCCCTTTATCACTCAAACCCTGGAGTGGGTGGTGCTCTTTCCCCCTCAAATTCTTTCTCAGCTAAAGTTCCTTCATAGTCACAGACATTAGTGGCTTATTGCCTCAAGGTAGTCTTTCTCTTAATCAAGCAGAATGCTGTTATTCTTAATGCAAACAAGTGTATGTTTATAAAAGACATGGAACTGTGTACAAACTAAGCAGAGTTTTCATGCACAGACTTATTCAAATTAGCCATGGATGAAAATGTAGTATCTACGCTACTATTCAGTGCTTAAATATAATATCTAGAGTTGAGCCTAATGCTACAATAAGGTCTGCTACGCCTTAATCGAATGTTGTCAACTCGATTTAAATACCTCAGCTTCTTAACATATAATTATAAACTGTGCAATCATCTCTTTTCTCTTTACTTTATTGCGAATAAAGATGCACACAGTCTCATCGTACTTTTATCTTGTCTGATGCCATTACAACACTATCAACAAACATTATCATACACTGCCCGCGGTGCTTGCCATCTGCATACACAACACTACGTCTGATCTTATGGAATTAACCACAGCATCTGATACTCTGTCTTTTCTGTTATGATTACCTTGTCATGGTTGGGCACAAGCATGCTTCCTGATGAATGCAGTTGGTCATTTTTGGCCATTACATGCACCAGAAAATAAGCTAATACTACGAGCGCTACCTATATTGTCACTATACAACTTCACAATACTAAAATCTCTGCCTAACCTAAGGTTGTCCTGTTCACTCTGATATAAAATACGAAATTACACCTGAGCTAAGTGGTCTTTGTTGATCAAACTGATAACATAAAACTAGAATAAATAAACAATTTTTTTTTATCTTTTGTTCTTGAAAAGAAAAGCAAACCAACATGGTGACTTTATAAAGTCATGTTTAGCTTAACGCCACACATTCAAAAGTTTTGTTGACGACATCACAGATAGTGGGTAGAGGTAGCGCACGTAGTATTAATCTAACTTTTGATGTATTTTCTGGCGCATGTAGTGTTTCCCCAAAGATAATAAAAACTTTAGTTTAGATTTTTGCCGGACAATTCATTTATTTTTCAAGGTCGATTGGTAGAGTGAACAGGAAATAAAGACTTCCTACTTTTTGACTGTAATACGATCGGACAAGTCGGTGGTCTTTTTTTTTACTGTGTAGGATGTTGTAAAACTCCGTTTGGCTTCATGGAGGAGAAATCAATTAATTCAAAGCCTACTAGGGCAACGATAATGATAATGTGAACAATGTCAATTTATAAAAATGACGCACTAAGCCATACATGCTACTATGAATACTAGTACTAATTTTATTTATGCTTCCCTGTTATTATTGTAATATCAGAGTTCTTTAATCAAATAAACCTGGAAAGACAATAAAAATGATTTTACCAACTCAGCCTGAAAACAGACTGTAATTTTTCCATTGAAGAACCTGGCCATATACACACACATACACACACCTCTCTCTCTTTCTCTTTCTCTTTCTCTTCTTTTCTATATTATTCTTTTTATAGTAAGAATATCAACATAAAGAAATAGACGTTATATTAAATCCATATTACAAATGCCAGAATGGACATCTCAACAGCAACAACCACACCTGAATCACTAGAGCAGCAAGCTATACAGTCCACTAGTAGAGGAAACAAGAGAAATAAAGTAAGCAAAGCCTGTAATGAATGTAGAAAGAAAAAGGTAAACAATAACTATTATATACTCTATCATGCTTTATATAAAAAGAACCCGTTTTATGGTCCCTTATTTTGGGACTATTTCTGACTCGCCAAGTTTCACTGAGCATGATTTTTTTTATTATATTATTTCTGCATCAATGTTAACAGATAAGCTAACCCTTATTCCTAGGTACGATGTGATGGGGCTCAACCTTGCGAGCGTTGTCAAAAAGCAGCAGTAGACTGTAATTTTTCTAGCGTTGCTTCCAGAAAGGGACCACCCAAAGAATATCTTGAACCATTTGAATCACGCTTACGTGCAGTCGATGCAGCTTTACAAAGGATACACAAGAGTGGCCAAACACCGCCTATAAAACTGGATTTTACATCATCAGTCGACAAAGATTACTTCAATATCAGCTCTATCGGCCGTGGCTTGTATGTGCCTGAATATCCTACTCGCGTGGATCGCATTGAGCCACTCTACCAAAATAACAGTAATCTAAGTGCAGAACCACCAGAGCCACACCTTAAGATTAAACCGCCAGTACCCATGAGATTTGATCTAATCAAACTTTATTTTGATCACATTCATCACTCTATGCCCTTTGTAAGCAAATTATCCATCACGAGTCCCCAGCCTCCATCATTACTGCTCAATTCTGTTTATGCAGTTGCATCCAAATTTGATGATCAACAACAACAACAGCAGCAGGTAGGTAATCCACCGGGATGGTCATATTATAAGATGGCTTTAAGCCTTATCGACATCTATATGGATACACCAAGGCTTTCGACCATTCAGGCTTTGCTATTACTTATTAAATATCACGAACATGTTCAACGCCCGGGATTCTTTTGGAGAACAAAGTCCCTGATGCAGCTGGTTATTCAAATGACAAATGACTTGGGGCTCTCAAGAAAAGATGATGGCAGCTATATATCCCATCATGATTCAGAATATCGCAATAGGACCTTCTGGGCAGTTTACACGTATGAAACGCTTATGAGGTAAAGAATTGCATATGTAGTGACCTATCCATCTTAATGTGATTTATTCCCTGTAGCACTGAGCACGGTTTCCAGCCTCATTTTAGTCCAGATAAATGCACAGCCCAGTATCCACAGTGCACTGATGAGGAACACAATGACGATTATAATGCTGTTCTCAACTTTCATTGGCTGTCAAAGGTAATACACATTCAGGGCTTTGTACTTCAGTTTATGCGATCAAAATATGGCACGGATGTCCACCCGCTGTTTGATGAACAAAAAGACTTTAGCCATTTAGAGCAGAAATTGAATGATTTAGGGCAATCAATTCCGCAGATTGTATCATCGAATAATGATATCTACGTGTCCTTTATTCATCTGATATACCATGTTGCCAACATCCTCTTATACCGACCTTATGCGCTGTCTGACTGTGTAAACAGCTCCCAATATAACTTTTACTGTCAATCGTCTGCATCTTCTATAACTGATATCACTGAACACATATTGTCAACAAAAGGAATAGACGTCTTTTATAGCACCATACGTGGTGTCCAACAAATCATTTACTGCTTGACAGCTGCCCTCACCGTACAAAGATCAAAAAGTACAGAAACTTATACACAGCCATTTGACCTATCTCAGTATCAAAAGACGGTTTCTACATTAAACACACTTGTGGAGAAGTCCCCAGTGACTGAAATTGAAGATGTATCCACAGCAGAGAGCCAAATGTGGATAGACACCAGAAAGAGGCATGAGCTTGCTTCATCTTCAAATACTTCTTCTGCAAGATCCTCGCCTTTGGATACTTCTCTTAGTTGTCCGCAAAGCCCTGTATCGCCTAAAATTAAGAAACGACGATCGAGATCCTCCTTACAGTTCCCCTCTACACCCGACAGCGCCTCGTACACTTCAACCTCTGCAAACCCCATCGTATCCGAGCCCATGGTTCATCAGAGATCAGCCCATTCAACAACAAATAGACTGTCTCGTGCTCAAAACAGACTATCTGCCCCATCATTAAGCTCGCTCTATCAGCAACATCCAAGCTACTATGCACCCCAACTTCAGCAAATGTTCCAACAGCCCGTATATCCGCCTCAACACATGTCCTATCACTCACAACCCTCATCTCCCACTGCACAGTACCTTGCAGACACCAGTGGAACAGCGGCATCGAGCAGTGGTTCAATAGATAATTATTATAATACACCAGCGTCATCGCCTCGTCGTTCTATATCTCGAAGATCCAGTTTGAGGAAAAGCACCTCGTTTGTAGGAGACTTTACTATTCCTATTCAGCGGCCTACACGCACAGGCATGGCTCGACCATATGCAAGTGCACGACGTCATACTGTTACAAACTCAATGTCTCCCGATCTTACTGAAGCTCTAATGGCTTCAGGATCCACAGCTCTTGGAAATGATCTATATCTCAGTACAATGACAACTCGAAGCAACCGATTCTCAGCGCCGCCTAATACCCTACTTCCATACAATATACCCATGACAGCTCAACAACAGCAACAGCAAGTAATGATGGACCCTCTATTTCCCATGGATCCTGTAATACCTAATACCCCTAATGAATCTATGATGGGGATATTGATGAACAATGAAAACAACTATAGCTTCTTTCCTTCACATCAGCCATAAATATAATGGTGATCAAAACGTTTTAAATAAATCATGGTTGGCTTCATATCAGAAAAGGGAAATTAAGCCAACTTTTTTAGTTTGATATGATGCATCATTTATTTACCCATTGATAGGAGAGAAAGAGAGAATAAATATAACAAAATAATATTAATCATAACAATAACCTTTGTTGATTAATCTGAAAGAAAAAAAAAGTCTCTTTATAAGCAATGATAAACTAAATGTTGCCATTTTTACTCTTTTTTATTTTTTGGGGTATAACGTACACACTATTGTTCTTGTATGTTAAAGTTGACTTTAAGTATAGATGAACCACCCTGGACGTGATACTCTTGCTCAACGATTACCACAAGAGATACTAGGTGAAGTTTATCGCCATTTAACCATCAGCGGCTTGCTTATCTTGTCATCAACAAGTCGATGGCAGCGTTTTACAATACTGAATCATCCCATTTGGCAAGAAATAGCTGAACGTTCTCGATTGAGCACACCTAAGCGTAAATACAAGACATGGTATGACATCGTCAAGAGCAAAATAAATATTATATGTGAACAATGCTACTGTATTGGATCGCGAAATGGACAGCGCTCTGTCCTTGCCATAAAAGTCAATGTCCAAGAAAACGCCACCAACAGGCGCTTGGCTATGCTCCGCTTGTGTTTGGAATGCAGAAAGGATCACTTTATGAAACATGGAGTCATAAAAGAGAATGTGTTGCCTCAAATAAGATATGACTATCACAATCCAGAAAAGCGTTTGGAAGAAACAATTCGTTGGTGTGAAGTCAAGTTCAACTTTAACTTGCCTGCAGAACTAGTTCAACTTTTACCAAGATATACAGGTAAATACAGGACAGATGATATCATTAGCTTGGCACGCACAATGTATGGAGGAGATGTTGGTATTGCTGCTTATCAGAGGGCAAGAAAGAATAGAAAAAGATTCAAGTTTTCTAGAGAAGAATTTCTCTTGCAAGGTCAGTTACAACTTTTGCTCTCCTATAAACATAATATTTAATTTTAACAGAAAATATTTATCAAAAAGTCAGATATGTGCGTCGTTAAGGCAAACAGGAAATAAATATTATACAGTCAAGGTTATTTGGTTCTTTAATCTGTAATGAGCTTGGTTGTAGGCTTCACTATGATCTTACACTTTATCCACAAATTATTCACACACTGATAAAGAAAATGATAATTTCAGACAATAAAAATAATAAGAGAGCCCATCAGAAGTAAAAGAATGAATAAAGAGATAATTAGTAAATCAGTTATTAAATTGATATTAAATATTTGCATTATAAAGAGAATTTATAAGAGAAAAGAGAAGCAAGAAAAGCGAGTAAATATATAGAGATTATTAGCATCGTATCCAAAGCATACTATTGATGGGCCAGCGATAACCAGCCCGGAGAAAGAAGAGAAAAAAAAAGAAGCGAGCAAGAAAGAGAGCGGATGGGACCAAAGTTTTGTAAGGGCCAAACTATTCCCAGCTAGCACCGGGTTAGCTTCGATGGGCAATCTATAATACTACATGTTAGTTCCTTACAAGAGTAAAGAATATAACATATTTTAGGGCTAGCTGGGGAATAGCTGATCTTACTTTTTGGTCCAAAGAAGAAAAGAGAAAAAGAAGTCAAGGTCAGATTATTTATACAAGGCCTCTAACAACTTCTTCAGTTACGTGTTAGTTATGCTTTGACCGCATTTATTTTATATTATTATGTGTTGTCTTTTAAACAATAAAGAAGACATAGACAATCAACTAAAGTGTTAATTGCTATTGATCTTGTAACGTGTGCGAATAATTTCTGAAAAAAGTGTATATGAAGTTTACTGAACCGCCTCGGGTGGAAAAGATGTAATATTACAATCGTGCGCCCATTAGAGGTTTTCAATTATTTATAAATAAAAATCTATTTAAACGTATATGAAGTTTATATCAATTGACTTACCATGAAGATATACGATATCATCTGGTAACGATATACTATGCCTAAAGCCATAGACTCAAATTGCATCTAATAAGCTTAAAGCACGCCTCTAGGAAAAAGTTGAGGGATAGAAGACCATAATCTCCTTAATAAAACAAATGGCGGAGCCTCAAGTATCCTTTTAATATAATATGCAAGAGTCTAGGCCTTACTATTGGCTCACTTGATCCTGTGACAGCTTAATTATGACTCAAGTCTTGTCTTATCTCTTTTTTTTTTTGTTTCTTTGCCTGTCTAGGGCCATTCTTTTATTTCTCTTCCTTTTCTTTTTTTCACCATTGATATAAAATGGAAGAGAAGCAGTCTACAACCCATAATGTCATCCTATTAAAGGAAAACAACCTGTTTATACCAAAAATAGAGCAAAAATCCAATTTACGAAAGCAGGTTGACGATCTTATCTTTGGTTCGGTACTGATAAAAGATACATTTACGTAAAAAAAATTTATATTTACTAACATGATTCAAATAATAAAGATAGCTGGTATGGTTGGCAAATTTGTAGAATATCCATTTGATACGATCAAGGTCAGGCTACAGACACAACCTGTCAACAAGCCTTTCTACTCAGGGCCATGGGACTGCTTCAAAGCTACAATGAAGCAAGAAGGTATCCGAGGATTATTTACAGTAAGTCATAATAAACTTATATTGATTTGTATTGACCATAATCGTAGGGCATGTCGTCACCATTAGTTGGGTCAATGATCGAAAATGCGGCATTATTTGTAGGCTATCGACAGATACAAAGACTGATAAGGGAGTACTCACTGAACGCAGAAGAGTTGGATAAACTAAAGAATATACCTGAAGAAGACTTACCACCCTTAAAAATGAGCCAATTAGTTTTAGCAGGTGCTGCCTCTGGTGCAATCGCATCTTTTGTCTTAACACCAGTAGAATTGATCAAATGTAAATTACAAGTCCAGATTGGAACAAATGCCTCTGCCAGCGCTCATCAATTTACCGGACCATTTCACGTTATACAACACGTTGTTAGAACACACGGCATCTCAGGATTTTATAGAGGCTTTTTAGCCACTTTATTACGAGAATCAGGAGGCGGCGCTTTCTGGTTTGGTACTTATGAATTTGCTTGTGCACAGTTTATAAAAAGACGACAAGCAGTGACAGACGAAGCCTTCCTCAAGAAGGATTTATCGCCCACAGAGTTGATGGCCAGTGGTGCACTAGGCGGTATGGCATACAATCTATCGCTTTTTCCAGTTGATGTTATCAAATCGCAAATGCAAACAGACGAGCAACTATTAGCTTCTTGTCAGCGATCATTTACTCAGACAGCTAAAGAACTCTACTCAATGGGAGGCTACAGAGCATTCTATAGAGGCTGTGGTATCACAGTTGCTCGTAGTGCTCCAACATCAGCTATCATTTTCCTAACCTATGTAAGTTAAGACTGTATGCTATATTATAAGTACTTATACAAATTATGCTATAGGAACTTCTTAACCGACAATTTGGAAGCTAATTGAATGTAAACCGTATCCCTTTGATAGACCCCTTTCATGCTAATATCGTTCATATACACTCGCATTACCTCATCTCTACTTATATTTCTCTCAATCCCTTCCCTTAATTAGACAAAAGAGCAAAAAAAAAAAAGGCCTCTCATTGCAACACACACCAATTGGTAGTACAGCAAGCTATTTAACGTCAGCTCATAAATAAAGAGAAATTCATGTGTGGGATGAATTATTGAATTACTGATGCTGAGGAAATATATGATTATATGTGTGTCTCCAAAGCCATTATATCATTCAGTCATGGAATAACACACACTATATTACATCTATGTTTGACTGTGTTCTTTAGTAAATTGACTAAAGTTTCAAGTTTGATGAGAATGATAAAAGAATAGATGGTTATCGATAAAACAACATTACCCTATTCGTCAGCATAATCGAACGTTTTCTGTTGCACTTAAAACCCCCTTACTGGAAATGTTTTTTTATAGGACATCTTTACACGACAAACCAAAAGAATAAAGCAAGATGCGATATAGATATCAATAAAGAAAAAAAAGGAATAATCATAATAGATTTTCCCGGGTCACAAGGTGGGAAGAAGTTTACTGTTTGTCTATAATACCGTATGATTTTATGATCTCACGATTACTGGTACAAGTCACAGATTCATGTAAAGACCCTTCATATGTCATATCATGTTTTGCATTTCTTTTTTTTTCTTTTTTTTTTCAAGAATAAAAACGTTAGTCGTATAGTAAAGGCATAACAATCGAATTTACTTATTATTTATACAGAATATATTCATATGGCAAAAGGCCTTTCACACCTCGTCTTTATCGCAAGTACCGAAGAATCCTATCACCACACAATCGACTTTTACAAGGCATTCGGCTTTAAGGTTATTAGTGTCTCAAATGGTGAAAAACAAAACGAGATATGGCTAAAACTTGACTCGAATGAACATGCTATGACTTCTGATATTGTTATCAAGCTCATCTTAAGTGTGGGCTCGGTACCTCGACCCAGACCAGATAATGAGTCCGACTGGTCACTCAACCCCTCTGCTATTGCATTATCCGTTATGGATGTTAGCGTAAGTTTGTAAAAGAAATAGAGAAAAGGAAATGAGCTTGACAGAACCTACTGTACGTATAGGCTGTCAAGTCACAGCTAGACTCGCTAGGATGCGACTATCAAGACAGGTCTATCAAGTCATTTAGCGGAACCTTTCAGCTAATTGAAGTTTACTGTCTGGATCCTTTGAACAACACAGTCATCTTTTCCAATAAGCCATCCTTCCCGAGTTTATTAGAAAGCGCTCCTGCTGGCTTAATTGACGATATTAATGAAAAACAGGACAAGATCAAAAAGATTGGTGTACTGACTTCGGGCGGTGACGCGCCAGGTATGAATGCTTGCGTTCGTGCCGTTGTCCGTTACGGTATCTCCAAGGGTTGTGAAGTGTTTGCGGTTTATGAAGGCTATCAAGGTAAGAAATCAATATACGTGTTAGTTTAGCATAAAATCCAATTACTCTCAAAGGTCTTGTTGATGGAGGAATCAAAAAGATGGACTGGAAAAGCGTTCGTGGCTATCTATCGGTGGTAAAATGCTAGAAAACGCGTATAAAAAAAGTAAAGGAGCTATATATTGATTTTTTCTTATGAAAGGGTGGTACATCCATTGGTACAGCTAGATGTATGACATTCAAGACGCGTGAGGGTCGTCTTCAGGCTGCAGAAAATCTGATCAAGAACGGTATTGATGCACTCATTGTCTGCGGTGGCGACGGTTCACTCACTGGTGCTGATGTATTCCGTTCTGAATGGAGTGGACTTAATCAAGAACTTTTGGAAGCCGGCAGAATTTCGGAAGAAGAAGCAGAAACTTTCAAGTATTTGACCATTGTTGGTTTGGTGGGCTCGATTGACAATGATATGTCATCAACAGACATTACTATCGGCGCTGTTACATCTCTTCATCGTATTTGTGAATCTGTTGACTCAATTGGCACCACTGCCTTATCCCATTCCCGTGCATTTGTTATTGAAGTGATGGGCCGTCACTGTGGCTGGCTCGCGCTCGCTGCTGGTATTGCCACAGGCGCTGACTTTGTGTTCATTCCCGAAAGACCACCACCAGAAGACAACTGGGAAGAGACTTTATGTGCAGTCGCCCATCGTCATCGTAAACTTGGTAAAAGAAAGACCGTGGTTATTGTTGCTGAAGGTGCTCTTGACAAGCATTTGAACCCAATTAAGGCCGATCATATCAAGGACATTCTCAGTGATCGTCTTGGTCTAGACACACGCGTTACTACACTTGGACATACCCAACGGGGTGGCTCTCCTGCTGCATACGACCGCATCCTTGCTACCATTCAGAGTGTTGCTGCAGTTGATGCCGTTTTAAGCGCTACTCCAGAGACGCCTTCTCCTATAATCGGCATGAGCAACAATGAAGTGACGACTGGTGACCTTATGAAAGCTGTGGAGCTGACTCATGAAGTGGCACAAGCTATAGGAGAAAAGAACTTTGCTCGTGCTATGGAACTTCGTGATCCTCAATTTATTGAAGAGCTTGAGGCTTATACTGCTACGACCATTTTAGATGACGACAGTATGTTGCTTCCTCCACACCGTCGTCTTCGCATTGGTATCATTCATGTAGGTGCTCCTGCTGGTGGTATGAACGCCGCTACAAGAACAGCAGTACGCTATGCAATTAACCGTGGTCATAAAGCTTTCGGTATCAGCAATGGTTTCCCTGGATTAGCCCGTGGATCTGTCGAGGAGCTGACCTGGATAGCCGTTGACGGTTGGACATCACGCGGTGGTTCCGAGCTGGGTACTAACCGTGCTGTTCCTGGTGAAGCTGTTGATATGGGCATGATTGCCTATCAGCTTCAAAAATACAACATCCAATCACTTTTAATCATTGGTGGTTTTGAAGCATTCTCTTCAGTTATCAAGCTTGAACAAGCTCGTCACCAGTATCCTTCTTTATGTATCCCTATCGCATGTATCCCAGCTACGGTTTCAAACAATGTTCCTGGTACAGATTTCTCTCTTGGTTCTGATACAGCTTTGAATGCTATTGTTGACTCTTGTGATGCCATCATTCAGTCTGCACGTTCTTCACGTCGTCGTGTGTTTGTAGTGGAAGTACAAGGTGGTAAATCTGGTTACTTGGCCGTGGAGGCTGGCTTGGCTAGCGGTGCTAGCACAATCTATATTCCTGAAGAAGGGGTTAACCTCTCTCGTCTCCAATCAGATGTTCGACACTTGATGGCAATGTACATGGATGATGCTGCAGATAAATCTGAAGGCAGGATTATTCTTCGTAATGAAAGTGTTAGCAAGACTTACACAACCCAAGTCATATCCGACATTCTTAAAGAAGAAGGACATGCCCTATTTGACTCTAGAACCGCTGTCCTAGGTCACATTCAACAAGGCGTTAACCCAAGTCCATTAGATCGTATTAGAGCAACACGACTTGCAAAATGTTCGCTTGATTTCTTTGAAAAACACACAGTCGCTGCTCTTGATAGAGCACATAGTCTGAATGGCCCTGCTCCTATTGATCTTTGTAGAGTTGAACACTCTGCTGCTATCATTGGTCTTTCTGGCTCTAAAGTGACTTACAGATGCATTAAAGAGCTTGTTCCTTTGACTGATATGAAAAACCGTAAACCTTTGGAATCTTGGTGGCTGCCTCACCGTCCTCTTGTTGATCTTTTGTCTGGTCGTGGTTTATTTACACCACAGGCTCAAGCAACTTTGAACCATAGCAAGTAGGTGATCATTACAATAATACTCATTTCTGGCAGAATGATTTTTTCAGGATTTTTGCTCAAATTATCTGTAAACACATGAAATAATAAAAACATGAATGGCATATGTATATTATTTACACTTTATTTGGAAGAAGTAGCTTAAGTTTACCTCATTCATAAACAACACTTTGAATAGCAAATGCAAAATGCGTTAAGTTTTTACGAAACAGATAGACAGTACATTCTTTTTATCTACTCTGCTTTTATCCATAACAAATGCCCTATTTTTCTTAATAAGAAAAGTTTGCAAAATGCGCTTAATATCTTAAAGAAAGCCTTATGCCACTCAGGCATTGCAAACTCTTATAAATCCATCATCATTTTTAGGGCCCTTCATGTATAATGACATGCTAATAACAAATGCACAGAACATTCAACTTGATTAAGCATCTATACTACAATAAATACTTTCTAATCAAAAGAGAGATAAGAATGTACCTCACTTTTTTTAATTAAGAAAATGTACGTACTCTTTTATTCCTTTTACCTACTTTGACATTCGGTCATAGCACTTTCAATATATTACAAAGAACGACTCTTTTCTTCTTTTTGTATAAAAAGCTGATAATATACACCTATGTTACGATGTGTTGCGAATTTTTTGTCCTGAGAGCTAGAGATGAGCTGGTCAACAACTCGGAACATTATAGTGCATAGAACTATGCCACGCTTCACTTATAAAATTAACAAGATGTTTTATACTTTAAAAATCGTCAATAAAGATAGATCGCCATTATAATAGTATAGCTAATGGCATTCAATTGACAATAATATAAGCAAAAGAAAAATAAGGAAAAAGGAAAAAAAAGGTAAATATTGGGATAACCAGTTTACAGTGTCACGTGGATGTCACGTGAAAATAATGAGACATATAGTATATTACATTTATACCTTACAATAAGTAGCATCTTAGCGCAGTGGCAGCGCGCCGGGCTCATAACCCGGAGGTCGGTTGATCGAAACAACCAGATGCTAACTTCTTCTTTTTAATTCCGCAGTTGTCGGAGGTTGAATATTTGTCTTACTGTAACGCAAAAGATGCCGAAAGGGGTAACTCTGTGGAACTGAATCCTGACAGCTTTAGTTGATAAATTAACTTTAGTTAATTTAACAACTAAGGTTAACTTATCAACAACTGTTGATTTCAAGAAAAGGAAAGCCAACAAAAATCAAAAAAAGTATATAAACCCAAGACTCTCTCAAAAAAAAAAAAAAAACAAGCAGTTCACCTTATCTTTTTATCATATACAATAAACAGGCAACCTTTTTGGTTATAAAAGTTCCTGATCTCTTCTTTTTATTTTTTATTCTACTTTATACTTCACAGTTTGATCAACTTTAAAAGATCTGGTGGTCACTTCAAACACCTAAACCTATAAAATCTCAAGAAAACTCTCTATATTAACAACAACCCTTACAACTCCACACAAAAGAATAACAACATATTAGACGAGTTTGGTAATAGGGTATCACAAGATCAATACGAAAATTTCGTATAAACGAAATTTTCATATATTTGAAGTTTTCATATTTTTGAAAATATCGATACAAAAAGTAGTCCTGATGTCCTCTCAAAAACATATAAATAGCCTTAGTCCTTGCCTCTCCTTGCCAGAAAAATTCATTCATCAATTAATTGAATCAATCACCTTTTCTCTTTATTTTATATTCATACAATAAACAGGTCTTAACTTTTGTTATAAAAGTTCCTGCTCTTATTCTTTTATCATCACACCTTTACGAACCTAACAATTAATCTTTTAATAAGATCTGGTGGCCACTATACTATACAAACCTCTGCTTAAACGCAAACTTTATTCAAACCTTTGACCTATAACAGGTCTACTCAACCCACTCTAACGAAGGAAGGCAAAAATTACAGTATATAAACCCAAGACTCTCAAGAAAAAAAAACAAGCAATTCACCTTATCTTTTTATTTTATCATATTGATACCATTTTTGGTATCTGCTACCAGTACCATTACTACTGCATGCATATGCAAGTTTTAATCATTTTTATTATTTATTGTGACATTGTAGTGTAGCACTAATAACCATAACTAATTCTTTTTGGGCTGCGAGGTTAAGGTTTCTCCATTTAACGTTTGAACTTTAAACGAAATGAACTTTATATCGACCAACCTTATTTTTAACAATATAAAAAGAGCAATGCTTTTGCTAAAAGCTCGATTCATTCAATAAATCACCTACGATTTGAATCACAACCTTTTCCTTTTTATTTTTATCTTTTATTAACTTCTGAGTAATCCAATCAAGTGGATTCAGGAACCTTTTTTTTTATCTTCTTTATTATTCTTTTTACTTTGTACAACTCAGTCTAGTCAACTTTACACGATCTGGTGGTCACATATCGAACCTTTATTATAACTTTACCTTTTAAACACTTTTGCTACGAACCTCACGTCTTACAAAAGACTACGAACACACAAACTTTTATTTTATTACCTTTTACAACACACTCAAACCCAAAACATACAAAATTTACACTGTCAAAGATCTGGTGGTCACAGACAAGCTGTTGTATTTCAGGTAGTACAAGAGAAGGACACGAAACACGATACAACTTTATTTTGAAAAAGACAGGAAGAACATACAAATGGAATGGTTTACTATTTACTGTTTTATTAAAAATAAATTTCAGAAAGAGGATAAAATTATGACGTGTATGAAAAAAATGATTAGTGCATATTAAAAAAAGTATTTATGCAAAGGTTAAAAATAAGATGCGTGCAAAGGAAACGACATACAAATGAGAGTAATAAGGCCCAAGGAGAGAATATAAAGAATTATACAGTTAGTTATGTAAGAAAATTATTATATATAATAACTTACCCTGAAGGCATATAGATGTGTCCTAGCGATAACTAGGACGGAGAATCATCGTCTAAGCGTATTCTAGTTCTTGGTTGCTCCTGATCGTCCACTCTTCTTCGACGTCTTGTAGGAGCAACAGCAACCCGGCGAAACCTATGAGGAACCATGCCATTACGCCGAAGCCCACGAAGGATGTGTATGTAGTTGAGGCAAGCAGCAACATCCCTGTTCCATAAGCGGTATCTATCTGGTGCTGCCATGGCGGATCTACAGTATAGATTGGTGCATCTACAAGCAATATTCAATCAGCATAAAGTCACCCAAGTGGCTCATGTACTATTACCTTAAAAGACCATGGCAGACAACCGTAGAATATCGCTCTCGTTGATACAGTCGTGGATTTGGAACACGACGGAACGTGTGAAGGCTTCCATTGTGGCATGCTGGACAGTACCTACTGGTCTTGTACTAGTCTATAAGAAAACCTTGGAACCCATGTTTCTTGAGGAGTCTTCGGAAACCAAAGCCACGGATAGGTTCATGGTAACTAGCATGGGAGCGGACCAGTTTTCCATCACAAGCACAGCGTCTTCTCGAAACTTAGCCCGTAAGTCTTGAATAAGTTTTTGATCGGCACTGTGGTATTTGGACTAATAAATGGTACATCAATAAGCTATTACACATAAAGAACAATTAAATAACCCAATTAAAATCAAGATAGATGATATCTATTTATAAATTGGGAACTCTCGCCTACGTGTGAATATTTATCACAGTGACAGTTATAAGTCTAAGAAAAATTTATTATTCAGACAACAGCTCGTCATACATCGCTATTGTCCTGTCAACACTACCCCAAATATTGGTAATCATCATAGCCGAGATAACTTTATCCGATCATTAGAAAAAGTATAAATAGACCTCCGTATTTCATTCAATAAAGGACAACTCACTTTAGTCTCGTTAATCATTTTGTCTGTTTACCTAAATACTTCAGGCACGTTGTTTGTTGAGACACGCTGAAAGTCAGACCTTGCGAAAGAGGGGGTATCCATTATCATGATTTGTGATGGTATGTCCATAGAATCGGCTGAGAACGGCAGACTGTTCAGATCTGGCTTGAAGGAAGCGGCCAAAGCGTTCTACTGATACGGCGCTGCTTGGCTGTTGAGAAAGGGCTTGCTCAGCTTGAACGACATCATGATCCTGGGCTTTGATATCTTGCAAGATTCGACGGTACTTTTTGGTTTTCCACGTCTTGTCTGGCTGCTGTTTAGTGTACCGAAATTTCACTGGTTGCTCTGATGTAGATTTTTCGTATACAAAATACAGCATATCTCTTCTTCCTGGGCCGACAGCGACGGATCGACCAGAAATCTCTTGATGATTTCGACGAGTTAGATTGGTGATGTAGGAGGTAGCTTTATACTCCACTGTGAGCCTTGCCGTGTATCTTGTTTGCCTATCGAACCCCTTCTTGAGAACCGTGACACCAACGCCATCAGTTTGAATAGTGCCACGGAATCTAAGTTGTCCACCTTCTTGCGGCTTGAGGGCTTTTGAATCAAGGTTGACAACTCGACTCCAATAGTCCAGTTTATCAACAGCATTAGGCCATCGAATTTCCAGGATGTTTTGACAGAGAAGTTACATTCAGTTCTTACAAAATTGTAGATAGTGCTTTTAGAGACCTTGAGATCCTGAAACTTTTGAAGTAGTGGCTCCATTACTTGCTCCAAGGCGGCTGAAGGGCTCTCATCTATGTACTCCAAGATCACTTGCTTGTATTCTTCATGAAGTATACGCGAGCGACCGGTTATCTTATGCTTTATAAAAATACTATCAGTATATGTTTTGTACATTTGAGCCCATCTTTGAGCTGTGTGAACATGAATACCTAATTGTTTTGCAGCAGCTAAAGCATTCATAACATTCTCAAACATCAGTTTAAAGAATATAACTTTGCCTTTATCTGTATAGAGTGTGTACACTCGCTTACTCGACGCCTCCTTCATGCAAGCATCTGGGTCATCTTTTGCATTTTCATCTGCCACAGAGCCTACATCGAAATTATTCTCCTGAGGCTGATCATGCAAATACTGAGTGTGTGAACTAACTGTTTCTAAAGCATATCGCTCTTCATCAATGATGTAGTCCATAGGCTTAGGTCTACCGTATGCATCAACTGCATTACCGTGCCCGTCTTCATAGAAAATTTGAAAGCACACGTTGTAATACTCGGTTTTTAATGAGAAAGAGAGTAAAAAAAAAAAAAAAGAAAAGAAAAAAGAAAAAAAAGAAATGACAGTGCTTTCATGCTTAATATACACATATTTTGTACGGCAAAGCTCCTACATATACGAAATTAATCAATGGTTAACGTGACATTAGAATTTAACAAGCGCAAATTTTACACTTGGCATCAGTGTCTAAAATTTTTGGAAATACTGTATAACAAACGCGTTTCCCCCATTGATCCGCCAACCTAGGAGTCATTTCCAATGGCATAAACCCTCTAGATCCTCCATTTGGAAATTATGCTTACCAAACTCAGAATCCCTTGATCGCCGCTCATTACGATTGATGCAAAGGAAGTTCCGCCAAGATAACCTCAATCACAAGCGCTCTTCGCACGCCTCTGCTCTTCTTATACATTGCCGCCTGACTATCTCTTTAGGCCTCATCCTTTGGCTACCAATGACCAGGTCTGAGAGAAGTCGATATATATGTTGGCGTCTTGGTTGGCTTCTCAGTGGTCACGACAAAACCTGTCCTCAGCACCCCAACCAATCATTCACCAAAGCCCACGCCATTCATTGTCTCCAGATGCACCGCCGACTTATGATGCCCGAAACAATTTCAGATCCAGTATCCTTCCTTTTGAATATGCTACCTTCAAAGAAACCACGCTCCTTTCAAACCGCTCTCCCATGGACCATTCGTTGGCCAGCTATCTGCACTCTTCTTCATGAACTCGACTACCTCCATCATCAGAAGTGTCTGCCTTCTCCGCCCCGCACCTTGGGCAAAAGCTCCTCGATTGGCTCCCTCGTTGTCCTCACTAGTGTATCTTACACTTGCCCCAACATCATTTCTTCAATAACTTTTTTACCCTTGATCTCATAAGGGTTTTTTAGTTACCAATTCTTCATTCTTTTTTGATCTGCCTCGGGCGAAGAAGATATATTATTATCGTGCGCCTACTTGAGGCTTTAATTGTAAATAAAAGACTGTTTAACCGTATAGCTGCTAGCAAGTGGGCGGTGAACGATTACATTACGTGTAGATATGAATCCTAGAGGATCTGTTTGACTAACGGTTTATGAATTGTTAAAGACAACTTTTATTTCGTTCTTGACACTAATTGTAGCTATCCATTTACTCTAGGTTATCTTTTCGTTTACCGTAAGAAGGGTTGTATAATATGGGCGTGAGTTCTTTTATATACGAAAGTAGTAATGATTTATATCTAAGATAAAGGATTCTTATGACACATGGTTTATAAATGAGAGTGTTTATGTGATCTTATTTTATATGAGTTTATTCTACTTCATGTTGATCGTTGTCAATTACTTCAATGTCAGTTAAAATCAGACATCGTTCCATGACACAAGCAACCTATTCGTACAGGAATATCTAACCTTTACAAAACTTGACGTCTAAAAATCTGCTGTATTCAGCTTTGTTATTGTAAAAAGGCAGTTAAGTCGATGACTTGTGAATTAAATTCTTTATTAAGAAGAGCTCAATATTACTAAGTTTGCGTGAGAGTTTACTTGGATAGAGAATCTATGACCGCTATTTATATTATTGTCGTCACTGACATTATTTATGCTTATATTATTATTGCTACTATAGTTATTATTATTACTATAAGCTATTCTTATCAGATGCGATAAAGGAATGTAAAGCAAGGTGTATACTCTACTGTAAGATTATACTCGAGTTATTATAATGATTATCTCATCAAACATGTCAAAATCTCCTTAAATTCTAGTTTAAACTCTTATATACAAGGCAGTCTAACAAGATATAACCCGTCACAGTGTCAATGACACTCTCCCTATTATTATAAATATATATATATATATATAGCCCAGTAATTTTGAATAAAGAATCATTAGTTTAATCAGATTAATCAATCCACAGTATCATTTTCATTTCAAATACCTTACAAAGGCTTGTCTTCTGGAGGCTTTTCTTTTTTTTTTTACTTTTCAATCCAAACTTATTATATTTGATATTGCATAACCAGGACCTGATGATCATTAACGCTACATATTTTACTCAGTTATTACTTTATTCTTTTTATTTTAAACCTATCTTAAAAACCTTAAACGCACCAAGGTCATTACGCTAGAATAAGCAATTATACCGATTAATCACGATAGGTTGGCCCTTAATGCAGCTTTTAAAAAGTATAAATATCCCAGAGTATTTTGTATAAAGGAAATATAATCTTCATATCATAAACAACTTTTATTTTAATTTATTTTATATCTAAAGCATTTATTACTTAACAATTTCTTTATTTTACTTGATCCTGTAAACCTTAGCACTATATTGCTCAATATTAATATTATATTATGATCTATTGACCATTATAATATAGAATTCTATACAAAAAAACCATCTTTAAGCACTCATAATATCATTTTATCCTTGAGGCATTGGTTGTAGTAGCAGTAGTTGTTGTTGTTAGTACTCGGTAATGGATAGAATAAAAGCAAAAAAGTTATTAGTCTCTGTTTTTTCCTTTTATTAGATGTGCGAGGAGGGGCTCATAGCAAAAAGAAATTAGGTTGTTTTAAAAAAGATCGGAGTGCTAACTAAGGTACATGTAATTAAGTCAAATGTAATCTTACACGTAAAGATTAGTATTAGACATGGTCAAATACGGCAACCCTTACTAAACACACACTCACAATAACCTTTTTTACAATTTATTCCTTCATCAATATTGTAAATCCTTTCTTTGGAAGATTTATAATCTCTTTTTTATTTCTTTTCTTTATTTATTTACTTTTATATCCTTCTGACATTAACTTCATATTACTGATTGGATTAAACTTTGCATATTTTAGTATAAAGCCAATTACTTTGTTTTTACATTTAACAGATAAAAAAGTAGTTGAGTTATAAGGATCTGGTGGTCGCCATCGAAAACGACTTGTCGAATAAAATCTTGTACTTAAAATTCACCGAAGCTCTATCAATTCTAACCATTTTTTAATATCTAATATCGTTGCATGCATAATACAAGCTGCTAGCATTTTATCATTTATATTTTCATTTTTACTTTATCCCACCCGAAATATCAACCATTCATTGAATCAATTACCTTTTTATATATCTTATATCTTCCGCAGTAAACAGGTTCTAGCTTTTGTAATAAAAACTTCTTTATTTTAATGCACACAAGTTTTCTTTCGGTTGACCTTGTAAAAAGTTCTCGCGATTACTTACAAATTTAAGCTAACATCGAGTCTGCTCTCAAATACTTGTCTAGTTGCGACAAACTTTTTAATTCTCTACTCTGTAACAAACTAATTTCTATTACTCAAGAAAAATAAACGTACAACGAGCCATTACTATGAAAATCAACATTAGTAAGTAACACAATGTCATAACTCTTCTATACATAACTTTTTTATACAAATAATCCAGCGTATTTTGAAATAAAAACAAAATGTTATTTTTTTGTAAAGGTTTTATAATTTTTCTTTTCTTTTTTATATTTCCAATCGAGCTTACCAGCATTTATCGTGTACAATCAAATCTGATGATTACTCTATCGTGACATGATTATAATCAGATTGCAACTCTATTTTATTCCTTTATTTAGAATCAATCATAGAAACCCAGAGTTTACCAGGATATAAAGCTAAAACAAATAATTAAAATAATGTGAAGACTTTGGTTATTTCATGCAATATGGCACTTTTTTTATTAAGCATTACCGGCCAAGTCATTCCTTTAAAGTGTGTATAGAAAAATGCAATCATATACTTTGATATATGCTTAAACAATGATTCAGGATATTCATTAAAAATGGACTACATTAAGAATACAAGTATTAATTTTGCTTTAAACTTTTTTATGCTTCAAACAATATTTGTACCTAGTTTTATATATAACACAATGCTTCATAAGTTAGTAATTGTATAGTAAATATTTGTGTGATTCTATTAATAAAATACTTTTATAAAGAAATATTTTTATTTGATATTAAAATCCATTACTACTGCTCTGATCTTGCATATATTGTATTTTGCAGACTATGAAATCTTTTGTATCATCCTCAGCTATTTATCTTTAATTTACTTTCTACTTGTGCAACTCAATTACCTTTTTGATTTATCAAGCTCTGGTAGTCACTACTTAATTCGATCCTATGAATTAAAGCTTTAGTTTTTTCAATCCACACGGCTTTACTAATTTTACAAGTGATTCGATAATCATATTATACAATATTAAAACGAAAAACCTTGGGTCTATGAAAAAGTAGCCATAAAATAAAAAGGAATCATAAATTATAAATAATCGTCTTTCTTGTTATCCCTTGTCTGACTGATCTAATTCAATCATAGTTTTCACTTTTTATATTTTAAATTCATTTAACAAACAGACTTTAACTTTATCATAATGGTTTCTGATCACATTTTTTTTTTGTCTTGACGTTTATTAGAAACCTTCTGATTGACTACATAGCAAAATCTATTTATTGCTCATTCAAATTTATGCAAATTTATATTTTTTTTTTCATATATATAAACATTTATCTTTTTTATTATTATATAATGCTTTTAGTTTCCTTATATTGCTCAATCATATATTTTAAAAGAAGACATAAATATTTCAGTTAAAATGAAGCAGACAAGTAACATTTTGATAAAAATTTTGCCTTTTTCTGTATTTGAATAATTACTGCTTAATAATCTCTTTATTTCTTTCTTATATACCACTTTTATATTGCTCATAATTGATCTCTTATGAAAACTTAGTGGTAACTATAAGTAGCAATTGTGATAATATAACAGTAGTCATAGATGACAAGATACGGTAAGACTGAATTAATTCTTTTTACTGATAAAGAGTGGTTCTTATTTATACTATTCAAATTTACTGTGGTATTATAGTTGATGTGGGTCTAACTATTGTTCTGAGGTAGAGTAACTTAGTTAAGGTATTCCTAGTTTTTACTACTGTGGCATCTAAATCAAGAAATAATATTATGTACCAGTAAGTGTTACTATAAGGGTAATTTCCTTAGTTCCAATAAGCGTGAATTATGCTCGGATACGACAGCAATCTTTTCCTAAAGTCATACAACTATACCAAGCGACATAATCGCCAAACAAAAAGCACTAGTATATGAACCACCATGGCATCCAAGGGCATTATAAACATTATACGCTTTAAAGAATTATATCTATGCTTTTATAAGCTGATCTGTGAATTTTTTTTAAAAAGACAAAACGTTTTATATTTTCTATACCATTTATATCCACAAAAAAGATAGGGCAAAGCTGACAGTAATGAATAGAAAAAGCTAAAAGTTATGTATTACAGAAAAGACCATACGGCTCCCTTAAGCTCTTGTTCATCATCAATACATCAATTTTATTCACCTCTTTTTTCCCTTCCTTGAGCGGCTTATTTAATGCACTACTTGATTTTAAGTGTATAGTAACAAGAATACTGTACATATATATGATTAGAGCATATCATAAATGTAGCCTTATGCATAAGATAGTATACTACATATTTTATTCATTAAAGGAATGTAAGGGTAACTAAGAAAAGGTGATTTTTTATATGGAAAGGTGCTTCGCTTTCCCGTAGTTTATGACTTAAATCTTGTATTTTTGAGCATATGTGATCACCCACCTAAAGGATGTTTTATTCGCAACACACTCTTGCCTACATTCATCCAGGAATGATGCAAAATTTTCAGGATCTTCTAGCTCAGGGTTGACCATGGACATAGCCGGCCTTAAATTTTGGGTAGTGTGCTTATAATCTTGCCTGCATAACAAAACATTTTTTTTATAAAAAAATCATTGAGTAATCTTTTAAAGCTTACCACCAAAGCTCGCCTTTTTTTTCATCATGGCCCATGGGCAATTCTTTCTCGATCACTGTAATATCCTCGAATCCGGCAGCAGCCAGTTTTTCATTAAGCTCAACTGCGATTTTAGGACACATGTCGCGTGAAAGTAACATGTTTGTCACTATTTCAATAATGAAAGTAGGTTAGAAAAACACATATTGTTTTAAAAGAATTGAATTACATACTTGTACTCTGGATCTTTTGTATCAATGGTCCAGGATTAATTTGGTCTTTAATATCAGGCTATGTATCATCATTTAAAAACTTGTATCCTTGTGTAAAAACGAGCGTACCTCTGCAAACTCGACGTATCCTCCAGGTTTAAGCACGCGATAAATTTCTTTGAGATTCTAAAGTATGCTTAGTTCACAAACTCTTTTTTTTTTTTTTAATCTCACCAACACAGAGTTGAATGAGTTCAAGCATAGAAAACTCATTCTATTATAATTGGTTAATATCCAGTTTAATCTAATTTCTATAAACAT